TTCGTTTCTATCATTATATTCTATAGGCCAGAGTCAAATATGCGCAGTCAGTGGGATCTCTTTATTTTAGACAGTTCTCTCAAATAATTTTTTATTTTCAAGCATAAAACCATTGGGTGGGCGCAACGGTAAAAATGTTTTAAATTTCTAAATCATAACCTCCATGTCGGAATATATTTTGAAATTTTCTCAGCAAAATTTCTGATATTTTTAACTATCATATCACTTAGAAGCAGATCACCCACAATCATCTCTCATTTATTTAATTATCTTCCGAATTTTCTACTAAAAATAACTTAACTCATAAAAAATAACTTAACTCGTGTATTATTATGAAGAATATGCTGAAAGATTGATTTATTAAAATTTTAATTATAATAAATATTTTTAATTAATTTAATAATATGAAAGAAATAATAAATTCAATTTTAGACAAAAAAACTTTTAAAAAATGCGCATTCTGAATCGTATTTTTAAAAATGCGCATTCTTCATATTTTGAATCGTCCCCTTTTGTCGTAGACTGAATCGGCTATGCTTAATCAGCGATTCTGAATCGGGCTTCGCCGTATTTTTAAAAGATTTTTGAAAAACCAGAGACTACAAAAATTATTTATTTAAAAATTATTTAGCCCATATTATATTAAGAAGAATATATTGAAAGATTGATTTATTAAAATTTTAATTATAATAAATATTTTTAATTAATATAACAATAAGATTGAAAAATTTAATTAAATTTTAGATAGAAATTGAAAACCGAGAAAATGCGCCTACTTGTTTTGGGCGCATTTACCTTGATTATTGCATTGGGAGAAGCAAAGGCACCTGAGCGATCATCTCAGGGTTTGCCAGGAAATTTAAACGTTTATTTGGAACCAAATGATGGTGGGTGCAAAAGAAAGCTTTACGATCCGAAATACCAGTTACCTCTGCCTCGTCAATATGCTGGAATTTACAAATGTAGGGTTTTTTTTAACAAATCTTTTATATTTATTTTATAAATAACATTCTTTCGTAAATACCGTATTGTCTCTAATAGAAACCCATCTCCAATAGAAGCCCATACCCTATTAGAAGCCCACTCAATGAGGGGTATTGAAAAATAGACGCCCAGGGCTTGTATTAGAGACAATACGGTAGATTAAAAATTCGCTTTTATTCGTTTTTATGTATAATAATCGTTTTTACATTAATAATTTAAGCGGCAATCTATCCAAGAGCTACCGTTACTGATGAGGAATTTAATAGAATCTTGGAAATTCAGAATGGATTGTTAAAAGAAATTATGAGTGAGGAGGCCTATGAGGATTACAAAAAATTGGGTCCTGATAACCATATTGAAAAAATACATGCTGAAAAGCCACACTTAAAAGACTTGAAGAAAAAATCTAATGATCTAAAGGATGAAAAAAATAAAGCTAAAAATTTATTGAAAAATATAGATAAAGTGTCAGAACGAGAGGAAGTTTTAGAAATATTAAAAAAGGAAGGATATCCAATTTCGAAAGATGAAGATGTTGATAAAATTTTAAAGGAATTGAAGGAAAAAGTGGCTTTAAAGTTGGATATGGATCCCGGTCAAGATGTTCCACGTGGTTGCATTATAATTAACGAAGATGGAATTTGTAAAATTGATGTTTGTATGTTTTATTTATCTTATTTTTGAATATTAAAAGATTAAATTATTATATTAAATTCAAAATTCTAACGTCTTGAAATAATCTATTATATTTATGAGATTAATTAGTATGAAGGTAAATAAAGGAGGAATTGTATAAAAATATCTTCTTATGTTTATATTTTTAATTTTAGTCCTAAAAATAATTCTTAATAAATTTTGAGCAATTAATCAACAAACTAACCTATTCATCTGTAATTTCTAATAATAAGTTAATTTTTAGCTGGATTCTATAGACCATACAAGCCAAATGTGGTTGTAGGTCTTCATTTGAAAAGGGGACATTTGCCAGCAAGTAGTTGGATTAAACCTGATCACGAGGATGTTAAAAAATATAGTGGATTATGGCACACTGATAGTGAAAAGGATTTGATTATTCATCATGATTATGACAAAAATGAGAAGCGAATACTTGATCGTTGCTCATTTTATGGGTTTGCAAATTTTCATTGTTATAAAATCAACTGGAACTATAAACCAGGATACTAACTCTGAAACCATAGTCCACTTCTTGATCCGTCTTACAGAGATGGGAGGATTAAGAAAAAAAGGTCGGGTCGGGTTTTCAAAATTCTCTTTGAATCGGGTTTCGGGTTGAAAAAATGTCAGGGTTTCGGGTCGGATCTGGTTTCGGGTCGAAAAAATGTCCGGGTTTTAGGTAACCCGTCCCATCCCTGCCGTCTTACGAATAGGGTTGGAATGGAATAGATTATCTTGGAAAGAGACAGAACAGGGAAATACCGTTTCAACCAGATAATTTGTATTCTTCATTCTTGTATAATCATAGCAATTACGATGCAAAATTAAATAATAAAAAATTTATAAATAATTATTAGAAAATACGAGTTGGATGAAAATGGTTATCCAATCAACCCAATTGCACGTACTGGTTTTATTACACGTGGAGAATTGTACCAATGGGGACCAAGTAAAGGAGTTGGAGCAATTTTATACTCAAAAAGCATAAATGATGAATTTTCATTTCTCGGCGTTATGAATGGGAAGTATGAGAGACCTGAAGGTATACTATATCTTTTTCATCAAAAGTAAAGATTAAAAAATTAAACTCAAGCCAGTCGTAGTATGGATTAAAAGACTATTCTTATAGATAGAAGAATCACTACTCCAGGAGGGTATGTTGATCCAAATGAAGAATTTGAACATGCAGCAAAGAGAGAATTAATTGAAGAAGGCCTAGCAAATAAAAAGGTAGGAAAAGAAGAAAAAGCTGAATTCGAAAATAAACTCAAAACTCTCATGGGTGATGGGGAATTGGTGATATTTGGCTATAATGATGCGAAAGAGGTGATAGAATTTTAAAGTATTTGATTCGGTAATTAAAATATTTTACAGACAAACACAGACAATGCATGGACAGAATCTGTAACCTACGCTTTTGGAATTGACCACAAAAATTTAAATGAATTTGAAGCAGATCATGGAAGTGATGCAATTAAAGCAATGTGGATGACGATTAAAGTTAATGAAGATTCTTCTGAAGTAAAGTCACTAAAGGAAAAAGTAATTAAAGAGGAGGTAAAAGTAGGAAAGGAAGAAAAAACGGATGAAATGGAAGTAGATTTTCCAGCTGAGCATATTACATTTGGAGATGTCGAAGACTTTAAATTAAAAAAAGAAAGAGAGTTTAAAGTTAAAAATCTTCTTGATAAGAAAATAAGAAACATGTTCAGTATAGAGGAAAAGATTGATTTTGTTCTTAAAACTTTCAAGGTTGTTACTTTTTAACAACACTTGATCTTTTATCTTAAATATACATAAGGCAATTTTATTGCAACAATTACTAAACTTAATTAAAGTGACCGATCTTCAATTTGGACCTTTCCTTAAATAAATTACTATTTTAGGCTTGCCGGACTGAATATGTAGATGAAGACAAATCAGAAAAAAATGAAGAAATCGCCGACAAAGGAACTGGAGAATCCAGTTCCAGTAAAGCAGAATCAACAAAGAAGGTTCCGATTGAAATTTGTTTAAATTTGAATGATAAAAAAACGATGAACATGGAAGGGGTTGCTCGTTTATTCCTCGTTAAACTTTACGGTGAAATGCCTTATTTGGAATTTCTCGAGAAACAGAAGTCGAATCAGGGAACATATGTAGTCAAAAGTGGAAAAGTACACACTTCAGTTACTGGTAGTAAGTTTATTTATTAGATAAAATTATTTGAAAATGATAGAAAAACGCCTTTATGATCAAGGGAGCGGTAGTCAAACAGAGAGCGGGACTCATCATGAACATAAAAAAGAAATAAAGAGTCCACGAACAAGTTTAAGCCCAAGCAAAAAGCGAGATGGAAGTCCAACTAAAGGTCATTGAAAATGAGTTGTTTAAAGAGCAAGTAAAAGACTATGTGCAAGAAAGTAAAAACTAGAGCATATTGCTCTATATTTCTTCTGTCCACTTTTGCATAAATTTAGATGTAGTATGACCAGATGCTCACTAAAACTCTTGTTTATATTGAGTTGATATTTAGTCAAAAATATTATTTGGAATCCTTCAAATTATCACATATGTTTGAAAATTTTCGGAAATTTTTTAAAATAAACAAGAAACTAGAAGAGCCGGTCATTAGAATCCTTTATTAGTTATGTACATATTATCCTTTATGTAAATATTTATTTTTCATTATTCTTTTCCTGACAAACATTGTGATTTTTAAAGATTATTTTAGTATGTATAAAACATTTAGCAATTTTTTGGTTATTTCTAAATTTAAAGTCAAACTATAAAAAAGAACATAATAGGGAATTAGGGAACGATTGTAGATAAAAACGTAAATCTAATAGCGTAACTTGTAAAATTATATTTAAATTATTTTCAAACAAAAAATTATTTTCATGTCAAAGAAGATATAAATTTTAACAAGGAGAGTAAGAGAATCTTCTAGCCAATTTAAATGCCCGACCCTATTTAATTTTTAAATTGAATTCTTGGAATTTTTACATATTGCTTAAATAAAAAAATTTTCGTTACTGTTCTGTAGAATATTTGATTGAAGCATAATAATTGGATAAACTATGAATTGGATATTCTGGATGACAAATTCAGTCATAAACTTGTTTAAAACAAAAAATCGGGGGTCAATCGAAAACCGATAAACGGGGGTCGTAAACCGGCTAAAACCGAAAACCGAGAGTGCCGGTTAATAACGGGTCGCAAAAACTCTAGTCCAAATATTAAAGTTTAATCTAATCAACTTTTCGCAAAAAAATTTTAAATTTATATAAAAATGTATTAAATAATTCAAAATCTCAAGAAAGAGATAAACAATATGTAAATTATTCTTAATTTTTTGTTGATTAATTAGCAAAATTTTTAAAATATTTGTTTTGTTTGTTTTGAATAAATGTCATACTGTCACATTTTTTGCATAAGCAAGGAGGTGTTGGTGCTTCTTCAGGTTTTTTCTCCAACAAATTATTATTGTTTTTTGATAGTGAAGAGGCAGAAAAACTTGGGGTTATAAATTATGTTTAATTTTAAATTGTGATTATTTTTGTAATACTAATATTGTCTATGACTAAGTTTTATACACCTAGTTGAATATTGGCTTGTGTCACTTAGGATATTGATCAAGGTTGGACACTTCCGGTTATTAACCGGTACACGCGGATTTCGGTTTCAGTTCGGTTAACCATTTGTGTCCAACCATATTATTGATGTTAGTTATACAAAGATTCACGCCCCCATGTTATGTTTTTACTAGGAGTTCTACTTATTGAGCTATATGTGCTTCTAGAATGTTCAAATTATTCAGGAATGACTGGCTGTTAATATATTATACATAAATCTTTGATTTCTACTTAATTATATTTTGTAAAATATATTTGCAAAATTTACCCAAAAATGTTTTCGAATTGGCTCATCACAAATTGTGCCAAATTTCTCATAAAATTAGCACTGTCTTTGACCATTTGCTCTTCAAATTCACGCATTTCTTGAAGATATTCCTCAATTTGTTGTTGTTCCTCAGATGTAGGTGTACGTTCGTCACCATTATCGTTAATTACACCATCTAAATTAATTTTATTATTTACTTAAATAATTTATATTTTATGTTGAATTATTTTAGTTTGAATAAAAATTTTAAGAATTTCTGGGAATTTCTATCTTGCTAAGAATGGCTAATGATAATGTAAGTCAGATAAGTTCCTTCCTTTTAAAAATGATAACCACAGGTGCGATGGTAGACATGATAAACAAGCAAGCTTCGAAAAGCTTTCAGATCCGAATATTAAGAGCGAGCGTAATTTTCGTGAAGAAATCGAACCTCATACACGCATGCTTGACCATCACTTTCATTTCTATCATTATCATCTACATCATTAGCATATTTTCTAGTTGTATTAATATCCAATCCATTTACATCATTATCTTCCTCAGGAAATTTATTGTCTACACCATATCCTTCATTATTTAGTTGGTTTTCCTCATCTTTTTTAATTTTTTCTGTTGTGTATTCATTAATGGAATTATCTTCTTCGTTATTTAACAGTGCATTGGTATCATCTTCTTTAATAAATTGTTGGTCTTGAATATTTTGATTGTCGATTAAATTGGAAGGTTGTTGCTCCTGTCAAATTTATTATTTAGATAAAGACTTATACATTATTTTCTCTAATTAAGCCAAAATTTCTAGCCGAACGGCCGTATCCATTAAAGTGATCATAGAGAGGAGATCAAGGTTTTTTTGCATTTTATACGATGATAATGTAAATACTTATTATGTGGGTAGCAAATTTTAGATAAAAAAATAAAAACCACTAGATCATGATTAAAGTGAATTACTCTAAAACATTAATTTGGCTAGAATTGGGATTTTACTATTATTTTTATTATAGAAAATTTCAAGATTTTACTTTGAGTGTTATTGAATTCCTTGAATAGTTTATAAAATAATTTTGTCCTGTTAAATAATTAATAATTATTTTTACCTCACGAACATCATCAGGGTTGGCAAACTCATCACTGGGCTTACTATCAGGATTTTCATCTCCACTATCTACGCTATTAGAATCAACAGCAATAATTTTGTTTATAATTAAAAGGAAAATTAAAATTTTTAAAAACATTTTTTAATTAAGAAACTTGGGGTCTTATTAATTTTAAATGTCAATTGAAGCATTATCTAAGCGTTTTTATTTCAAATTAAGTAAGGGATAAATTAAAGTTTATTTGGATTTTGGCCTTTTTTCTATTTTGAAATTCAAAATTGAGTGTGTAAAAAATTCTGTTTACTTCAAAATTTAATTTTTTTAATTCATCCTTCAATCTATCTATAGCCTTATTTTTAAGCATTATTGGGAAATTTTCAAATGATATTTTGAATGACTAATAAAAATTATGGAAGGTAGATGATTTGAAAAAGCTGAACAAATAAATCTAGTAAAAATTCAAAGTGCAGATTTATTGGGAAATAATTATTGACTAAAAAATTTTAAATTAAAAATAATTATTTTTAAATAATTAATTCATCATCTATTCTTTATCTTTACATATTTTTTACTTTAACTTTAAATTCTAAAATTTCCAATCAAGAACTAAAAAGATTAAAAATATATTTTGTATTTACAATTCTACTTGTTTTATTTTTGCTTGATCGATAAAGATCTGAAAACTACTTGGACAAGACGAGACACATACCGAGATTTTCGGCTTTTTTACAATATCGGTCTCGGTTTTTTCATTCTCGTTATCGAACCCGATACTGAAATTCTCGGTCCATTTCTCGGCAAGCAACGATACTAACTCAAAGAAACAAAATCCTCAATATTGTGCAAAGTAATTTGACAAAGTGCTATGAATTTTATATTTAAGATTTAATTATTTAACAATCATTTATGCCCCTAATTATATAAATGAATTGTTTACAGACCTTGTAGCTCACAGGGTAACCGTAACAACCCTCTCCCCCGTATTGAAAATTTCTACAAGGCTTATACACCTCCGTTAATAATTATGCCACCTCAAGAATGTTATTTATTATTAAAATTATAAATATTATTTTTTTATATTATATATTTAATTAATATGTCAAAAAGGGCAAATTGCAGGTGCCAATTAATCTCAACAAATTACCGCCTTAAAATTATTTTTGGTACTTTTCCGTTTTGTTACACCCCCATATATTAATGCTCAAAATGTCACATATAAGGTAATAAAAGGTGCTGAGTCGAACGGTACCTTTCTTTTTCCCAGGAGTTGTCTGTGGACCGAGATATAGGGCTCGAAATGGTCAAAAACTATAGAGGGGAGTAAGTTCATTTTTGGGGTAAAAATTCGAATATACAAATAATACCCCATTTGAAAGAGCTCATGGAGCTGAGTCGAAAGACACCAAGATCAACGAAACCTGATTTGATTTGACCGAGATTCAGGTCCCTGAATATTGAAGAACCACACAATTTTTTGTATCGTAACTCGGTCCAAACTTGTTCGAAGACGGTGATTTTGGTGTCATTCAACTCAGCTCGTCGAGCTCTTTCGAATGAGCTATTATTTGCATATGCGAATTTTTTACCCCAAAATGGCCCAATGGCTTTTGACCATTTCGAGCCCTTTATCTCAGTTCACAGACATCTCCTGGGAAAAAGAAGGGTACCGACCGACTCAGCACCTTTAATTACCCTATATGTGACATTTTGAGCATTAATTTAGGGGGGTGTAACAAAACGGAAAAGTACCTTATTTTTCACGACAATAGACTTTAAGCAAATATTTATTAAATTATTTTAATTACAGGTGTGTTTAATTGTAAACATAAACAGATTACGTTAATAATAAATAATTTATTTTATAATAAAATGTTTATTAAGAATTTTCTTTTTATTAAATTAATAATTTTTTATTTGAAAATTTTATAATTAATTAAAATAAAATTATATTAAAAAATTAATTTAAATATGGACGGCAAAACTTATTATAGTGTAAGTTTATTTGTGTTAAATATTTAATTTATCAAGAAGATTCAATAGATAAAGTCACGACACTTGCAGATATGACATTTACTGACCCGACTATTGCAGACCCGACATTTGCATATAATATTGGCCGACAATTGAAGAACAGACATTTGCTTATCCGACTTTTGCAGATTAGATGTAATTATAAAATTCTAGATGTAAATCTAGATACAGTGTGTTAAGAAATTATAACCCCCCTTGAATTTTTTTAGTTTCTCTATATTCCCGTTGTCTGATTGTTCTGAAATTTTTGTAGTAGCTTTCTAATGCATATTAATTAATATTTACAAAAAATCTTTAAAAATTTCCGATTTCAGACTTTTTTTGGCCGTTTTTCCAAAAAATTAGTGTTAATAAATTATAACCCCCCTATATTAAAATTTTTTTAACACACGAGATATCTCTACAAAAATTTTTCTGAACATATCTACCAATATAGATAAAAAATATAAAAGAAATTAAGTTCTGATGTACTCCCATCATCGAGATCTTGAAATTCGAAAATCAACGTAAAACTTGGGTAAAGGTCTTTAAAAAATATTTTCGACCCCTTACATGTGAAATAAAAATTTTATTTTAAGCTTATCTGAAAGCCCTTTAAATTTGCTATAAATTTGTTTTTATCTCATTATACAGAAAAAATTCACCGTCGAGAGCCAAAGTGATAAATCTTCAAGTCATAGAAATCACTCAAACGCCCCCAAAAATAGATAGAATTTTAATTTATAAATTAAACTCACCATTTCTTATAGTAGGTTAATTTTTTTCTGAAAATAAAATTAATGCTATCTTGTAGCAAATTTAAAGGGCTTTCAGATAAGCCTAAAATAAAATTTTTATTTCACATGTAAGGGGTCGAAAATATTTTTTAAAGACCTTTACCCCCGTTTTACGTTGATTTTCGGATTTCGAGATCTCGATGATGGGAATACATCAGAACTTCATTTCTTTTTTATTTCTTATCTATATTGGTAGATATGTTCAGAAAAATTTTTGTAGAGATATCTCGTGTGTTAAAAAAATTTTAATATAGGGGGGTTATAATATATTAACACTAATTTTCTGGAAAAATGTCCAAAAAAAGTCTGAGATCAAAAATTTTTAAAGATATTTTGTAAATATTATTTAATATACATTACAACACTACTGCAAAAATTTCAGAACAATCCGACAACGGGAATATAGTGAAACTAAAAAAATTCAAGGGGGTTATAATTTCTTAACACACTGTATACATAAATGTAAAGTTTACATAAAAATTAATTTTATTTTGTCAGTCCATTGGTTTTTAAGATTTTTAATTTTTTTTAATTAAAAAAATTTTTTTCAAAAATTAATATCTGCAAATGTCGGGTCTGCAAATGTCATATCTGCAAGTGTCGGTATCTGTAAAGGTCGATCTGCAAAAGTCGTCTGCAAATGTCGGGTCTGCACATGTCTCGTCTGCAAGTGTCGTATGACCGATAAAATATCTCATTAAAATAACAAAGAAAATTCATAAAACATGAAAAAACTAGGGGTGCGTATCATTTTGACACGCAGTGTACGTATTATAACAAGAGACCGGACATAGAAAAAATCTGAGCAAATATCTGAATCCAATAACATTTTTAAAATGAAATTTAATTTAAAGCCAATCTACTCTACATATAATGAAAAAGGTTTTATGATAAAATTATTTTTGAATGCTTTACTTATAAGTTTATTTTCATTAATTGCAATTATAATGAATTCGAGTGTTTGTTATATTACAATTAAATATAGGTATGGATATAAATAAAGAAGATTTTGTGTCCAAATTTATATACGTTAATGGGGATGAGTAAGTCTAAATGTCGGGGTAACTCTTCCAATTTCTAATACATTAGGCCGTTCAACGTTCCTTAGAAAATTATTTTAATTAATTTTTAGGAAAAAATATGCAGCATTAAGGAGTAATACAAGTATTTTGCTTGTAATTTACGCCTTATTTGAGATTTTGTTGAATACAGTAATATTTTTTTACTTGGCAACTTCTACAACTGGAATTAATTTTCTTCCAAATTGGTTATCCAAAATCTATATATTTTATGATATAATTATATTTCATAATTCGAATTTTATATTACTTTTAATTAGCATTGATCGCTTAATGGGCATTACTTTACCTATATTGTAAAATTTAATACATATTTAAATCTATTCAAAACAAAAATTAAACTTAAGTATTAGGAAATTTTAGTACCAGAAATTTTTAAGGCAAAAATAGTAGAAAACCCCAAGAAGACACAGTATGCGGACGAGAAATTTTGAATTTTCAAACGTGCTGAATCGGAACTTAACATATTTTTTGGTTGAGAATTCCAAAGTTCAGGAATTTAAAATTGGGAATTCTTGATAACTTAAATTTGGAATTTCCTTTTCATGTCAGCTCGATTTCTGACCGTGACTAGGATTCTATGAAGTTTTCAAATTTAGAATAGTATTAAATAAAAATTTCAGATACAATAACATGAAACAGAAGAAATATATAATTGTTAATGTATCTATAATAACCATGTACAATATTTTTATCTTTTTCATCGTTATTTTGCCCGTATATGAAAAATATGAAATTGTTAGAATACCAGGCAATCCTATGGATATAATGATAATTGTTTCAGCAACCGGACAAATTCGAAATGTGTTCCCTATAATTATTTACATCATTACTTTAGTGAATTATTTATTTGTTGGTATAATAACAAAGTTCGTAACAGGTACGATTTGTCAGACTAAAAAATATTATTTTCATGCTGAGGAAAAATTCATTGGATGGGGCATGGAATTATTAATCACAGAATGATCCCAAACCGAAGCACAATCGAATGTGACACTATACAATCTGATGAAGGGTTATGTTTATTCATTTATATATTTCCAAGGGCATGCAAAAAAGTTATAGCTAAAACAGAGCGTTTTTGGAAATCTCAACGCAGGCAAAAATTTTGTGAATTTTGAAGGTCCATAAGACAGATTTCTTCCTTTATCAGCGCCGCAGGCAAAAATTGAAAAATTTTTTTTTGTCCTTAAGCCAAATCAACCTTTTTCAACCGAAAATTTTCGGATATCCGGTAAACCACATCCGAACC